GAAAAGTACTCACTATTTGTATTGAAAAGTATTCACTATTTGTTTGACAAATAAAGATTTTTTGTAACTTTTATTTTATGTTCATTGAATCTTTAATGTAATTAGCCCTGGAAATATCACATTTCCATCTTCCATGAATCTTTATCAAACGGTCTGAAACATTGTTCATAGCGGCAGTAGTTGCACCTCCACTAAGGAGACTATGCAGTCCGAATAATTTTGAATTCACACCTACTCTTTTTAAAGCTTCAAGTAAGATCTCCCGAGCACGAGAAATGGAATGGACAGAGCCGTCAAACACTTGAAACTGGAGATGTGCATACCTGAAACAAAGTAAAGTAAGGAAATTATTTCAAAACAAAATCAAAGCCTCTCTCCATGAAACAAGTGACTAGGTTATTTAGAAACCTTCATTGAGGTATTAGCAGAAGATATATTGTTTAGAAGGAAAAAGCTAAGTAACTATTCACAGAGGTGAAACACTTGAAAATGGCAAAACCAGAACAAGTCATCAGAATTTTGGATCCTATAATGAAAGAAGAATTCAAATGGGAATCTTCATTTGATTTTTTAGACCCAAGATACATTGACACCTCCCTCTCTATGACAGTAGTTGGTGACTCCATCTCCTCACTCACAAAGGTCACATCATCAAACCATTCTTCCAAATCTGTACATTTTGAATCTTTAACTTTCTTAGCAGGAGAACACCCATCACTCTCATCATCACTCAACTGACTTAAGACTGGCAGAGAATGGAGACTGGACTGACTGGCTGAATCTGATGAGGAAGCTTCCTGTGTATCTTTTTCCCTTTTAATATTTACAAGTACATTCTTGTTATGATCAACAAGAGATAAAGTTTTAGCCAAAAGAAGCTGATGAGCAGATACTTTCTCTGAATCTGGTAAAAAAAATTCAAGCTTTTAGTATCAGGACTCAGCATTGCTGCAATGAGTGGAATTTCCTCATCAGATTTTGCCCGCTTTGCCAACTCTTTCCCCATCTTAGCTACAACTCTCCTAACTACAGGGGTACTGCTAAATTTCTGAAGTGTTAACTTAATTTTTGCTAATGTTACAAGAACTTTATTCATGGTTGGACATTTTTCAGCACAAAGAATTTCTGTCGCCTTCTTAAAAGGACCCAAGACTTGAATCAAACTTTCAACTACAGACTGCTCATCAAAACGCAAACAGGAAGATTTGACATGATCAGATGCAGTTTTGCTGAGTTTTGTATCACTTGCAACAGCCATGATGGCAGGCATTTGTTCTAAGATGCGTTCTAACATATCTAATGAACTATTCCATCTATTAGGAACATCTGCAATTAGTTTGTGACCGATAAGTTTTTCTTCATGACTAAATACAGACATTTGTTTCTCCATCAGGCAATCATTGAGACTGCTAGACCTATGAAAATGACCAACTAATTTCCTGCATTTTGCTAAAATTTTGGAAACATCTGGAAATTCTAAAGAGTGTTTAACAATCAGGTTTATCCTATGCCCATAACATCCACATCTCTCCCATTCAAGTAACTCCAGGGCCTTTTTTTCATTCGCTGCGTTGTCTGTCACAACTGTAGGGACAGGAAGTTTCCAGTTGGAGATGGTTTCTGACAAAAAGAAAATAATTCACTATTAAATTTACAAATCATGTATAAAATGAAATTATTAAAAAAAAATAAAGAATATTAGTATACCTTTCAGTCCTTCAGCAATTTTTTCACTTGTATGTGATCCCTGTACTTGGGTAGTTTGTAAAACAACAGATCTAAGTTCCCAATCATCATTAATGAAATGGCCTGTAACTGTACTGTAACTTTCTGTGGCGCAGCTTGTCCACCCATCATGTGTAAGTGCAATAAATGTCGTAGGCAAGTCTTTTTTTAATTTTTTTGATGAAGTATTGTACCTCATCTAAGTGCTTCGTTTAACCGGAAGTACTTTTTGACAGGTTTCAACCAATGAGATTTGTTGTTTTAAATTGAATTCATTTAAAACAAAAGTAAAACAAGAAAGCAGGTCGTACACAAAATATTTCCAAATAACATCGCTAAAAATTGAATGCGCACCTTGGCGCCATGATTGATTGATTTAATGCGCCATTTTTCACTTCAATGCGACTATGGCGCATGGCGCAAGCCCTTCCCAATCACTGTTTATATGTAATGTCATTTTCTTTCCCGCTTTACGATGTACAGCATATCAAGACAAGAGGCCCACGGGCCTTATAGGTCACCTGAGTATCATGTAACAACTTTCCAGCGATTGTATTTGGTTCGTGTTTTAATCCAAAAGCCATGAAATTCACAAATTTTGAAAGAGGCACCATTGGTTATCAAAGGGCAGATTTCAAAGCATTAATTTATTTTTAGTCAAAGTACCCCCCTGGTACCCCTGACCAAGCGGCCCTGAAATTATCTATTTTGAAAGAGGCCCCTTTCTTCATTATAAGGCCAGCATTTTTTTATATTTAGGTTTAGTTATGAACATGAGAATAAAAAAGTCCCGCAGGAGAAGGAAATAAATTTTTTTTTGATAACTCAATTATTAACATTTGTACAGTCTTTTTCCTAATAGGCTCCTTACCACTGGACACATGCTTACAAATAGGAAAGTAGAACATTTAACTGCTTATTTCATCATCTGCCAGTTTGGGCCAGTTATATAAATTGTGTGATGTTGATCAAAATATATTTTTAGGTCACCTGAGTTAACTCAGGTGACCTATTGCTATCCGTTTTTGTCCGTCGTCGTCCGTCGTCCGTCGTTCGTCGTGTGTTAACATTTGAACATTTTCAGCTTCTTCTCTGCAACCACTGAACCAATTTCAACCAAATTTGGCACAAAGCATCTATGGGTGAAGGGGAACAAAAATTGTGAATTTCATGATCCCTGCCCCCCTGGGGCCTGAGGGGTGGGGCCAAAACCACTAAAATTAATGCAATCTTTAAAAATCTTCTTCTTTACTCCTGGACATCAAGCAGTCAAACTGTTTGCATGATTGTAATCAGCATTGAGTCCTCTACCAAAATTGTGATATTCATGGCCCTGGGGTCAGGGGTTCTAGTGCTAGGGCGGGGCTAAATAAGTATATAGTGAAAATGCATTATTTCTTTGAAAATCTTCTTCTCTACTCCTTGGTATTAAATAAACCAACTAAGTACATAGTTATGATGAGCAAGAGTGCCTCTACCAAAATTGTGAATTTTATGGCCCCAGGGTCAGGGGTTCTGGTGTTAGGGTGGGGCTTTATTGATTATATATAGTGAAAATACATGATTTCTTTGAAAATCTTCTTCTCTGCCCCTGGGTATTAAATAAACTAACTAAGTACATAGTTAGGATGAGCATGAGTGCCTCTACCAAAATTGTGAATTTTATGGCCCCAGGGTCAAGGGTTTTGGTGTAAGTGGGGGGGGGGCTCTATTGATTATATAGTGAAAATACATGAATTCTTTGAAAATCTTCTACTCTGCTCCTGGGTATTAAATAAACTAACTAAGTGCATAGTTATGATGAGCAAGAGTGTCTCAACCAAAATTGTGAATTTTATGGCCCCAGGGTCAAGGGTTCTGGTGTTGGGGAGGGGGGGGGGGCTCTATTGATTATATAGTGAAAATACATGAATTCTTTGAAAATCTTCTCTGCTCCTAGGTATCAAATAAACTAACTAAGTGCATAGTTATGATGAGCAAGAGTGCCTCTACCAAAATTGTGAATTTTATGGCCCCAGGGTCCAGGGTTCTGGTGTTAGGGCGGGGCTCTATAAATTATATATCGTAAAAATACATGAATTCTTTGAAAATCTTCTTCTCTGCTCCTAGGTATTAAATAAACTAAGTACATAGCTATGATGAGCAAGAATGCCTCTTTCAAAATTATGAATTTTATGGCCCCAGGGTCAGGGGTTCTGGTTTCAGGGCGGGGCTCTATTGATTACATAGTGAAAATACATTAAATCTTTGAAAAAATGTTTCTTTTTCTCTGGGTATAAAGCAGATGAACTACCTTTATACTTATGTTGAGCACGGGCCCTAATCTTGCAGACTTGTGAATTTCACGGCCCCAGGGTCAGGGGTGGGGTGGGGGCTCTACTTATATACTGAAAATGAATTTATTGTTTGAAATCTGCTCTTTTGTATATATTTATAAAAAAATTATTTATTTTTTGATATTAAGGGTGCCTTTTTGAAATTTGTGCAATGTGTGGACCTAGGGTCAGGGGTTTATGTCACAGTGTTAGGGGCACTACTGGTTAGTTGGAATGCATTTTTTTCCCCTACCCTGCATATGGGTATTCAGTAACCAAGCTAAGCAACTGCTAAGTGTATTGTTATGATGATCAATGGTGCCTCTATCAAAATTGTGAATGTCATATAGCATCTGGCTTAAAACATGAATCAAATTCAATAACTGGAAAATTGTTGCATAATGCTCAGGTGACCTACAAGGCCCGTGGGCCTCTTGTTAAAAATTCAGTTCTTTAAAAGTCTTTCAATATATCTTCATTTTTTTAATGTGTGTTAGGTGAATGTGTAGACATGGTTGTAAAATTAACTTATGGACTTAACTTCTCCCATAGTTTTATTCATTACATCTGATGCATAAGCCACCCTTTTCTGAAGAATGATGCTTAGACTGTAAGCTATAAAAGAGACCTAAACAATGTCGCTGGCAATATGCAATACCTACCACGAGCAGTTTAAAACCTGGGGGCAGAAAATAATTTAGTTACTTTTGAAACGAATACATAATTATCTCACCAGCATGTCATTGTGCAACAAAGTCGTCCTTTGAACAGGTGAAACGTTTTGAATGGCACTCTTATCGATGAATTTTACACTAAACCAAGCTAGCTTTATTTACCCGCCTCGTTTCATCGTAAAAACCGGAAGTGCGAGTTCGTAAATTTGAAATTCTTGACAAATTATGTGTCAAACTTGTTAGCAAGATCTTGTACGAAAAGATTCGACACCCCGAGACTAACAGAATGACAAGTATTTTGAATGGTACAAGATTTATGTTTATTGAACCCCTACCTGATGGGAAATGCCTACCGAGAACAAACTATTGTGCTGGTGTCCAATGTAAAATATTTCATTTTGGACAACCTAAGAAAACAGGTAACCTGGTTTGTACCAACTGCTGGAGTACTAACCACACTAGATCAAGGTGTACATCCGATACATGTTGCAAAGTCTGCAAACAGCCTGGGCATGCCCCTGGTGACAAATCATGCCCCCACTATGAACCTCAGAAACATGTTATACCTTTTTGTGGAGCCGATGATGTCCTTTCAAATTTTTTTCCTTGCGAGTTGGATTTCTGTGGCGTCAAACATAAGTCTGCTGAACATGCTTTTCAATATACAAAAGCACTGCGTTGTGGCGACTTGGACGCAGCAAATACCATTAAGGATGCAGATGATGCGCTTTCTGCCCTGCGTCTTGGGAAAAAAATCAAAACCAATGAACAATGGGAGTCGACAAAAAAGGAGGTCATGGAGGATATCCTTGAAAACAAGTGTGTTCAAGTCCCAGTCTTCTTAGAAAAGCTGAGAACCGCTAAGCAGTCCACAACCTTCGTGGAAGCCACTTATAACAACGAGTGGGGATCGGGACTGGATCGTACGGGGACACTTAATACCAAACCAGATCACTGGCCGGAATCTAATATCCTCGGTGTCATGATGAAGAAAATCTCCAAAAAAGTTCGAAAAAGGAAACTAAGCGACAGCATTAGTCGAAAACAAAAACAAGCTCATCGTGAACAATCAAGACAGCGCAATATCGTTCAGATGCTGAAGGATCTAAGAACTGCGTCCGACAGTGACGTTTCAGGGTGCAATGCCGATTCCGATAGCTCTGAAGGGGACAAATAGACATTCAAGATCCTCAATCATGACGCTGTATATAAATGAACTGAACTATTTATACTATTACATAGGTACGTGTATTTAAACATTATTACTTAGAATATATAGTAGAACTATTTCATGTGTAATTTAAACATAATATCTGTCAATGTTAGAGGGTTGAATTTACATGAAAAAAGGAATAAGTTTTATCTTTGGTTAGAACAAAATAGATTCGATGTAGTATTGATACAAGAAACTCATTATATAGATAAATTTAAAGAAAAATATGACTCAAATTGGAAAGGTATATCCATACATGCCTTCTCTGATTCTTCATACAGCAGAGGGGTTTCCATACTATTTCGTAAAGAAATTAATGTAAATATTCTTAATATACACAAATCTGATGATGCTAGGAAACTTTTAGTTAATGTTAAGGTAGATGACAACATAATTACTTTTATTAATGTGTATGCACCTAATACAGACCTGCCTACCCTTTTCGTTTCAAGGGTGTAATTTCAGAAAATTTTTAGTGGAATTTCAGAGGTAAAAGCGTAATCAATCATGTTTTCCTATTTTGTCGTTTTACAATAATAGTTTATTTCTATCAAACCCACCGAAATTATACATTACTAAACAAACCTGGCATAAACTTTTCTTTTTTGAATCATCTATTGGCAAAAAAGTGATGTAAAATAACAGTATCTCATATAAAACTCAAATTAACCGCACACCCTTAATGAAGCATTTGGTCAATGTGTATCAGATCACTTAAATGAAGCTTGTGTTTGCATGTTTATACAAATTGTACATAATAACACTTATTTTTCTTTTTAACCCTCACATTTCTCTTCCTTGTTCAAAGCTGTGTTAAAGCAATGTTAAAGTGAACTTACTTGAGCATAGAAATCGGCATACTTATTGCAATATCATTTAACAGTTGGGGTAAGCATGCAGTGCCATCTCGTGTTCTTCGTCGCCCGCTGGCGCAGTGGTTAGAACGTCTACTCTAGAGTCGCGAAATAAGGAGTCATCCCGAATCTTTGCCATACCGGTTTCCATATAAGTATTAGGTATAATGGAGTCTCAACTAAATTTTGATTTGTCTCAACTATTTTTTTTATGCAAATATCACTGTTTAAAGCTTTGTTTATAAATGACTCGTGCATCACCTTACAAAAACCTATGCTGGAGCACACATTTGAATTGACAAAATTTTGCTTTTCAAAGTTGAGCAAGATAAAGTTAAATTGGTAAAATTAAAATACTGAAATTCCAGATGGAGATGTTTTCATTAGAATTATTTTTTCCATTTTACATCTTACCTGCATTGTTGCAATGCTACTGAATTTGTGCAACTTTATCCGAATGCATATAATTTACATTTCCCAATTCCCCAATGCAGGATTACCATTACTATGCAGTATGACTGCAGGCTCTGTTAGGTATTGTGCATTATAATGTCTATCAATGTCACGTCAGTCAGTGCAGGCATTGGCCGACTGCACAGTCAGTCAATGCAGGCATTGGCCGACCTTACATCATTCATTCAATGCAGGCATTGGCCGACTGCACAGTCAGTCAA